TTCATAGTGATTAATCTCGATCGTACAATTGCGCATAAGGTGAAAATGGATACAGGCTGTCCATGCGCGCGAGATCGATCCTGAGCTGTTCCATCGCGGGGCAAACGAATCATCAGCGTGGCTTCCCGCGTGGCACCGACATCAGCGCACCTGACCACGCGGCGCGTTCCGATTCATCGAAGTTACTGACTGGGGGGTTCTACATGGCCAAACTTTCTTTATTTGTACTTTGACCCCTTATTTTTAATTTTTCTTTCAAAAACACCCTGCGAACTCAAATTTTCACTCCTTCCCAAAATTATTTTTAATTTCATACCTAATTCATTTTTTCTCAAAAGTTCAATTAAATTGAAATAAAATAAAATATTTTAATTATTTATATATTTTTTCTATAATCTTTAAAATTATCTCGGACCAACTTTCAGGCTTGGGTGTCACACATAAAGTATGAAGACATGTTTTTTTCACTTCACAAATCTCATCAGAAAGCTTTTTAATGCATCTCTTACCAGAGTTTGAGGAGGAGCCTGAGTCACCGATCTAGGTCTCTTGTTATACTGAACCGGTGCAATGGGTGCTGGTCTACAGTGTGAAATTGGGGGTTTAGGATTTTTTGCTGCTGGAGAAAAGATGCGAATGTTCTTTTCTACTAGTTGTGCCTTGACAAGAATGGTTGAATAAGTGCTAAGCTAAAATACATACAACTGCTGTATGATCTCAAGGCGAAGACCCCACTCGAACTTCCTTGCCTTCCTGCCCTCATCCATAATGCTTTCAGGGGAATATCGGCCCAACAATAGAAATCTTCAGGCATACTCTGATACAATCATCTCACCCTGTATTAGGTGTGCAAACTCCATCTCCTTCAAATTCAGATGTACTTTGGGAGGTACTCTACATTGAAGGCCATCAGGATCAAGTGACTAGACTGAGCAAGATGGCATGTTTGAGTTGCCACCAGCGATTTGCCTCTGCTACAGGCATGTAGGTGGCAAGAACAACCTTTTATTCGGGAACCACCCCAAGAGTCGCGAAAACCTTCTCTATCTCAGCCAACCAATACTTGACATCTTCAAAAGATGATGCACTTACAAAGGTAGATGAATTTAGTCTTTTGTACCTTTCAATGTAGTCTGAGTCCATCATAGGTGAAACTGGGTCTCGTGGAGAAGGACCAGGTGGCCCTGTGGCAGTGCCGGTTGATATAGTTGAGGCACCCGGTTGTATTATGGCGATACTGAATGATGTAGTGGAGGCACTAGATTGTACTGTGGTAGTGTCAGATGGTACGATGGATGAGCATGGTTGTACCGGGGTGACTTAGGTTCTTTCCGCTGCAAGGGTGGCTCAAATTGTGGCACTAGGGAAAGGTCAGACAGCTTCCTCCTTTCCTCCTAAGTCTGTTGGGTAGAGATGAGTCTTTTCAGCATCTCAAAGAGTCAGTTAACATCCTCTTGAAGTGAGCCATCTCGGGCTACTCAATTTAGTGGGAGTCTTCCTCTCCTAATTCCTTATACCGACATTTCACAAAAAAAAGTTGAGTGATAGTTTGTATTTAGTTTTTTTCTTTTTTTTTTAAAGTTTTGTGCAATGAATGGTTCCAAGGAATCTGACTCTGATACCAACTGTAAAAATCCAGAACTATAAGAGAAATAAATTCATAAATTTAATGCAAAAATGATTAATAGAGTTAGAGTTTACATTCATTAAACAATAATTTAGAATCCTCAATAGGATTATGGGAACATCCCTTCTAAAAGATAAACATAAATTAAAGAAATGAAATGAAAAGTGAATAACTAAACATTCTAAAACAACATTTATTACCACTTGAAGGGAGTCTGGATAATGAACTACTCTCAACTTTCTTGCTGATCAGGATCTGTATCTTGATCCTCTTGATATGAAATAATTAATGAAATAGTGAGGTACAGAAGTCCAGTAAAAATATTACGCTAACAACATATACAAAAAACTGAATATTAGTAAAAATTATAAAATAACTAATGGAGCACTTAATTTGAGTAAATTCATTTAATATAAAGAAAATCATTTATTCCGAACTTACCATAAAAAATTTTTCAAAACAATTTATGAAGACTCATATCCATATTACTCTTTACATTCACACATAAGAGAATAAAAAACAATAACTTTCTTTCATTACCTGCTTACTGATACCCCCTGGGGGTCCATAAAGATGCTCCCTTCCTTATGAATCCAATAACCAATTTTAACAATTAACCGATCATTTTTATACCTCGTTCGATAATGGGTGCCAAATATTTCATTGCCTTGATACCTCGTCTAGTATGAGGGTGAATAATATCTCTCAAACCTTTCCAGTAAAAGACTTTTCAGCCCCGTCTAACTGAAGTAACATTTACGGTAGGGTTCTCTATGTACAAGGTCTGTCCGTTTTTTTGCTAGATACCCAGTAAGTCTTTCATATACAAATTTTCATCAATAAACAACCAGCAACGCATACCAATATCTCATGTCACATTCATAGATCAATTGAACTATATTCATGCTGACGGTATATAATTAAAAAACCAGATAGTCAATAAAATCATTGAAGGTATAATTAGGACATATACTATATGAAATCAAGCCAATAGGACAATATAGGAAAATAATAGAATCAGACATTGTGAACTAACCGGTTCTGGCTCTACTATGATCGAATATTTAGAATTTTAAATTTCACAAA